TTACATGAAAAGACTTGTAAACAAGATGATTAAAAATATGTTCAAAATTTGATGTTTCACGAATCTTGTCAATTTTCAAGCAGAGATAGAAATTCTCACTATCTGCACGATAAGCATTTCGCTCAAGCTACTTTCCCGTGAGTTGTGAACCGTTCACATTTTCATGTCTCGTTTTGCACCGATAATTCATTATCCTCTCTCATACATAATCCGAAAATATCTCTCTTCAGAAACCAACGAAAATACTTTTTCATCACCCATTTGGCTCTGAAAACTACCAAGAGCGAAAAAAAAAATACCACCCCAAATTGTTCGTTTTCACCCCAGTTGAGGCTTGAGAATTCGCCGTCTCTTTTCCCGACCAACCATTTCGTTAATTTTCTTTAATTTTCTATACATCGATCTTCAAAGCCATTCATAATAAAAATCGATAGCGATCGTCACCATTTCATGAATAATTGTAAAGATGCTAAAAGTCTAATCGTGAATCGTTTATAAAGATCTTTCTCAAAATATTGCTACCAATCGTTACCAATGTTAAAATATCGATTGTGTTGCCAGATCAAAATATCGATTTCTGTTGTAAAATCAAAATATCGATACACAACTGCTGATTTTATTTGTGATTTTTTAACTGCATAATTTCTAGTTTCGATCCCATGCCATATGGGGTGTACTGCTTTCGTTGTTGGTTGCTAATCCTTGGGTCCACGGCTGCTGCTGATGAGCTTATCAACGACAGGCAAACACACTCTAGTATGTGATGTATTGAAATTTCTGTAAATCTTTTCATACATGAACCCAATATTTATTTGTCATAACCATCAACCAGTCAGCCATATAGGTGTAATAGAGGTCAAAAAGGTATCAGTTTTCCTCATTGGGTTCCAAATGCCGAGAATCCCACCACGCATGCTATCACGGGTTATTAAATATATATATAGACATAAACTTGAAGAACTACAATGATAAACATTTGCTGCATCGTGGCTATCGGTCTTCTCGTTCATTTACCGGTAGATTGCTTCTTCCGATGAAATGCCGAATATGTCGATAAATAATATAAACATTGCCATCTGTCACCTGGTGTGTCTTGAACTCTCTTTAACCAGCGATGCAAATCGATAACAAGGAGATTATAAATGTGCATCGATGACAATCTTTGTTGTTCTTAGTCAAAGTTCAAAGTTATGATGACATCAGTATTTAAATATTTATTGATGAATATTTGTAAAGAATACTAAAGTCTATGTGACATATCGAAATTAAAAGAAATTTAGTATGGCACCTTTATAGATTACTATCAAATGACCGATGAAGAAATAATCTTAAATGTAAGTATCGATTAATAAAGATTTTTAAATGTGTACATCGAAATCATAGAAAATTTAAAGTAAAGAATTGCCGACATAAACCTTTATTTCTATATTAAGAACTTTGAAGAAGTTTCACGAACGGTTGGTCGGGTTGTTCTTGCGCTGATTAAATAGTTAACGGAGTGTGACGTCATACTGTGTTATCCATTTAAACAGCGGCAGAACCAAAGGGACAACGATTTCACATAGCCTACCCTGTTTGCATTTCATTGGTTTCAACCAGTCCGTCAGATTTTTTTTTATTTCCCTTTTATACCTTCTGTCAAATCATAAGGATCATCCATAAATGACGTTGCAATTTTCTAACAGATTTTAGACCTTCCCCTCCCCCTTCGTGGCGATTTTTCTATACCTTATGCATGGTCCGTTACAAATGTTGAATCCCCCTCTCCATTGCTCTTCAGATTCTACGTAATTTATGGATGTGCCCTAACTGTTGTTTTGGTTCTTAATTTCGGATCATCGTTTGCGTGCGGAAAGTGAATTTTCAGGTGTATGAAAGAAGTGAAAAATCATTATCGGAATCAGGAGTTCACTGAAAAAGAAACGATTTATCTGCCGCTCATGCTCTCCGAAAAAAATTAATCGCTGTTGCTTTTCTCGCGAAAACTGCTGTGAGCGTATAATATTCTCTCCCTTCTCACATTCTCATCTATTTCTCCTAGCAGGTGAAACATTACGTTTCTCAAGTAGGCGAAAATTTCGATCTCTGTTTTCAAGGTCCATGGTTTAAATATTCCAAAAGTTTACATTTTTTATTTGTGGAAAAATTGCCATCTGGCAGCTACCGTAGAGTTCTACCGCAGCTATCAATGTTCTACCGCCAGTGTGAAGAAACATAGTGCGCATTGACATATTTGAAGTATTTTTGAGGGTTTTTAATTATTGATTATTTGAAAGCTGCGGTGGAACTTCTTTTTATTTGAATTAATTCGTAAAACGGGAACAAATCTCTGGAAGAGTAAAATATAAATAAAGAGGATATACTTTTTGATATTATTGAATTTTACACTTTTTTTCGAATTTTTACTCAAAAATATTTTTAAAAAAAATACCGTAGGGTAGACGTACCAGTTATGGCTATACGTTCCCATTATGGTATGTTCCAATTATGGCCTATGGAATTCCATAAACCATTAAAGGTCGAGTTCTACAAAATTATGAAGTTTGATGTGTTGCAATACGGATTTTAGCTCTTGTCTACAACTTACCACATCCACGAAGGCACCGCAACATTTCTAAGGGCACTAAAACATGCCCGGGAGGGCTTGTGTGACCGTGGACTGTCAGCAAGGCCATTACCAGCCGAGCTTTGTTAAATCATGAAGTTTCATATGTGGCACGATGGGTTTTAATTCATTTTGAGAATTGGCCTCTTCCCCGGGTGCACCGGAACATGTAAGGGAGGGCTAGTGTGACCGTGGACTGTCTATAAGTTGATTACCGGCCATTTTTTGAAAAATCATGAAGTTTGATATGTCGCACGACTTGTTTAGGTTCTTGTCGATAATTGACAACTTCCTCGGGGGCACCGGATCATACCCAAGAGGGTTACCCAAGTAACCATAGGGAAGTTATTTCGCCTTTTTGACTATATGCAGGCCTCATCAGAACTTACAAACACTCGTTTAGTCGTTTTTCAGCTGTATATAGCCAGTGTGGTAGTGTGACCGTTTACTGTCAATACCTTGCCTTTACCGGACAAGTTTTGTAAAATAACGAAGTTTAATATGTCGCACGACGGGTTTTGGTCCTGTTGAGAATTGGCCACTTCCTCTGGAACACCGGGACATTTTCGGGATTCCCAGTGTGATCATGGACCATCGGTATAGCCATAATTGGTCCATTAAGATAATTTTATTGCGTAAATATTATGTTCACTGTGTGTATAATTATTTCAGAACAGTAAAGCCGAATGCCGACGCAGAGTGGCCCCAATGGAAACCGGAATAACTCCGGTACCATGTATTGATCCAAATTTTTTGAGAAAACTTCAAAAAATCAAATCTCACGTATGACCATGATCACCAAGATCAACAACCTCCAGAATAGAAAGAGCTAAAGAACAGGCCATCTTTTCATTGGCCATGGTTAAGGTTCGAAGGGCGTCGAAGCATTTTTGTAGAAGGCTTAATAAACGTAGGATCAAGAGCATGTTTTCATTGCGTCGACAGTAGCAAATGTAAAAAAAAATCATGTTATCAGTATCAATCGATGTCCCAGCTATTACACTATATACCGTATGCGTGATAATGTTTGCACCATTGAGCAATATGAAACAGCAAAACAAGGTTATCTTCCATTTAATTCCACTTAATAAATTTTGGTATCCATGACAGATACGCATTTTGACTACAATGTGCAGTCTTCATCAGTGTCATTTCCACTAAAGAACTTATCAAAATCTAACCCCCTTAAGTACTCATCTCCTAGGTAAAAAAGTCAAGATCACAGGTATAAAAATGAAACTACAATGTGTTGAATCGGAACCAAAAATTTAAGTAAACTAAAGGAGAAAAATCTATGCAACTCTCTAATAAGGAAAATCCCAAACGCTTGGTAGCCATCATAATGATGTCATAATGTCAAAATTGAAAAAAAATTCGTTTACGAGCATTTTTTTATTTATTTAAAGGGGGATGTTTCTCAGGGTTTTAAACTATGTTAATCATCGATCGCTGCAATTACGGCCTCCACACGCTTCCGGAATGCACAGCAGGTTCTAATAATGTAGTCTGGATGGATTCAAAAACTTGAATAGATTCTCCACAAAATGCAACTTGTTGTGCAGAAAAAGATTGAAAAATTATGTGTTTAGAGCTAACTGAATTTTGAAATCTTTGCAAATTTAGACGTTCGGCACGCAAAGATTAAAGCAAAAAAACAACATCTTAAATTTGAAAATCAATCAATCAACGAACCAGTTGTCACCCACTAGTTTCATACGAACATAGATGCGCGCTCAAATAACATTGCAAGTTTTATTGAGGTTTTAAAGCACACTACAAGTCTCAATCATGGTCTACAGAACCCTCATAAAACCTACATTGTTACCTGAGCGTTAATTGGGCATCCAAACTCGTGTGATGCCACAATCGAACGGGTTCTGTAATATCGAACAAAACGAGAATTTGATACGAGAGTTGATTATAAATTGTTTTGTAGATATTAATTGCAGTATGTTTTTCATGAAGATCTACCACATTGTCATAAATATTGTCATTAAAGCGCAGTTCTTTAATGAAAACATGATTCAGCTTAATACTACACAAGATCATAACCAAAAGTATGCCTCTCTCCTCAATACCCCGCCCTTTTGGACCATTATTCAACCGGCAACAGCATGGTCATATTTTATACAACCGTAAGTTACAAGCAAAATGCATTTAGCCACAACTATGTCACTCCCGGGTGACAAAGTGCTATAATTTTTAGTACCCTTCAATTCCACCCCAACAGCCCGCTGAAGCCCCGTGACGGTCGGTGGTGACGTCACGTTGCACTGGAATCTGTGCCAAATGCAAAATGCCTTTGATATTCGGTCTCCATCAGCCATTCTCCATTGTGCTAATTTACAACAACGGGTTCATGCCTATATTTTACGAGCTTTTAGGGTCTACTCACCGTAATGGGCAGATTCAGATCGTGGGTCTCGTTGCCCCGCCAGATGGTCGAGTCCGGCGAGACGGCCTGGATGTCGCAATCCAGTGTGTTAATTTTCTCCTGCAGTCGGGACAGCGGTGTAATGACCGGCCTTGTAATTAAATTTTCACCAAGCCGAGAAGTCGATGGTTGCGGTTTACGTTGCTGCTGAGGGTTGGCAGCTCCAGAAGTGATGGCAGGTGTAATGCGAGCCTTGCTGTTGATTTTGGTTAGCTTGGAGGTGGCAGCGATGATGGCGGAGGCAGCTGCACCGAGGGTTTTTATCTTCTTCTGCTGGTCCTGAGGGTGGAGTGGGCGGTTGACGGATGTGTTTTCAAGGGGGGTTTGGGAGACGACGGATTGTTGTGGTTTGCCGGTGGGTGGGTGTGACTCCTCACGCGGAATAAAGTTTGTCTTCAGTAGTTGCTTTTTGATGTTGGATTCCGAACGAATAGGTTCGCTTGTGGGAGTGACAGATTTCGGTGGTAGCTTTTTGGTGGTTACTGTTGATTGAGCAGCCGGTCGGGAGAGGGTTTTGGCGGTTAGGATGTCCTTTTCTGAAACTATGGCGGTGGTTTTCTTCGGCACGACCGGAGAATTGCGGCTCGGATGACGATGGTCGCTGTCGTTCATCATTTGGTGGTGTAGCTCGCTGTAGAGCTCCTTGCTATTGTAAAATTTGGTAGTGGAAAATTCCGGTTTGTCCTTCTTGTTGGCATCCTTGGGGTCGTGCGGAGGGCCACTGTTGTCGGTGTTGAATTTCGTATTGGCAAAATCTATCTTTTTCAGTGGAGCGACGGAATCGAAGACGTTGAGCTTGGCCGTGGTGGGATCATTTTTCTTGACACGTCTCTGAATGAACAAATTACCGTAATTGCCTTTGACAATGTCACTGCCACTGACGGCAATCGGGACCTCTTCCTGCGATGTGTGGGTGGTAGTGCCGGAGATCGGTGTCAGGGTCGGTACGGCTTGCGTGGTTAACTGTTGCGACGATGAAAATGTCACGGAGGAGATGGCAATCGTAATAACTTCATCGTCCTTCTTCTTTGGAGTGGGTTCTTCCTCCTCTGGCAAGTCGAAAGTTTTGTAACCTTTGAAATTCTCCTCAATCCTGCTAATTACTTCGTCGTTTTCCTCCAGCTTCTCGGTTATGTTGTCGATGGAGGATTTTCCCTCGTCGCTGGTAGAAGTTTCTGAGGTATCATCGATTAGTTCGATCTCAATCTTGGTAGTGGAAATGTCACCGTTATCCTGTCCTTTTTTGTCACCCTCATTTCGATCCTCATCGGAGCCATCAGTCCTGCTGTCAATTACTGGCAAAACTTCCGATGGTTTCATGATGGTTGATTCGAAAAGTTTCTCATTATCGTCGTTTCGCAGGATTGCTTTCTCTCGCAATAATTTCTCCTGCGTTTCCACCTCCCTCTGGATGACATTTCCGCCGGCAACCGAAGGTTTGAAGTCCTCCAGCTTTGAAGGATAAAAATCGTCAATATTAATCTTGCTCGGGTAAACCGACTTGGAAGCGACGACGTCAGCTGGCATCAGCATATTCTCATTATCACTTTCATGCAATCCATTATCGAATTCATCGGTTGTGATTTCGGCTATCTTGATTCGATAGAGTCCATTCTTCTTCTCAACGCGTATTTCATTCGAAAGATGCTGTTCTTCACCGGAGTCATCCATATTAATGGGCTTTTCGTTGGTAAGTTTGGTATTGATGGTAACCACGGAATCGCTCGTCTGTTCCTGAGATGGCCCTTCGTCTCCTGTATTTTCCACATGGTCAGATTCCCTGATGAGAGTAGTAGATATCGACTCTACGGTAGTAGCTGTTGCAGTAGATGCCACGTCGCCCAACGACTCACTGGAGAAATTTACTTGAGTAGTGGAGGCACTTTCTGCGCTCTGCTGGGTAGCATTTTCTGGTTGGGTTGCATTCATCAGCACCGGCTCATCACTGGACCGCTCTGTCCCGGTACCCACTTCAACCGTGAATGAGCGTATTCCGAAGCTTATAACCGGAGTCTCACTTTCCAGCTCAATGTCTCCCTTCTTCTCGATTTCACCCTCCTCCGCCAAACTGGCAGCACTACTACCCAGTTCCACCGCAAAACCAGTCGTCAATCCTTCTACCATCTCTGTTGGACCACTTGTGACAACGACACTTGTCGACTCTCCAAGCACAGTGGAGGACGGAATTTCCGACACCTCTGGTTCCATTTTTCCGCTAGTGCTAACCGACATTACCGTAGCGTAGGTATCTTCTTCACTTGCACTGACACTGACGCCACCCTCAGCGATGACGCCAACGGTTGCAGTTTCCATCGTGGTAGACACATCCGAATAAACACCCACCACGCAAATCACTAGACACAGCCACCCAACACTACGCCTCTTCACGCTCGCCATTTTCCCAGTTGCTTATGATTTGTTTCTTCACACTCAAACACTTCAGTTATCTCTCAACCAAATTTTCCTTGACAACCACTTTATTCTACTCGCCAAAAAAAAAAGACAGGAAATTCAATTTTGCCAAAATATTTTCCTTTTTCTGCACTGTTTTTTCGGTGCGTTTCTTTTCACTTCAGTGCACACGGCTTGAAGATTATGCTCGAAATGGGCCTCATCTGGGTCAGCAGCACTTGATTATTCGGGCCACGATTCTGCGAAGGACCGTCGGTAGAATGATCTGAAAGAAGTGGGAAAAAGAAAATGTTAGTTTTTTTTTTCTTTTGCCAAACTAAGGAGATGAAATGAAACGGTAGGATCTTAATTAAAAAATGAAACTAATTATCTTGGCAACTGCAGCAGTTGATGGAGCTGTTTTTACGAAGGAAATGCCAGAATGACGATGTTCTAAATAGATTGTTTGCATGTAGCTCATTGAAATTTTTATCTTTTAATAAGTAATATTGCCTAATCATTGTCATCTTCTATAATATGCTATTGATGTTTGCACGTTTGTGCCTGATTTTATGAGAGTTTTTGTACTGTTAGTAACCCAAAAATATTATTGCAGATTAGGAATGTGTGATAAATTTCCTATAACAATTGATCACGTATTTATAATATGAATAGATCAAAATTATTTGGTGGGTGACTATGTTGCATGATGATGATGATTGTCCCACCTCTTACCTCATACAACGGTTTGAGCTGGACGATTTATCTTTAAGATAATTAAATATGACATTTTAACCATGACGATTTTACTTTCAATTTTTATCAGTACAAGTACAAAAACTGTGAATCCAAAACTGGCAAATCCGTTCTAGCGCCACGTAGAATGTGTCTATTGTTTCAAAACGAAAAAAGGAATTTTATAGATGTAGATCTACACCTTAATATCAAAGAAGAAAAAAAGCATTCATAAATGACTCCCCACAGTGCACGTGACGGTTCAAACGAACTCACTAATGCTTATCAAATTTTCCACCTCAAAGGATACCCGGGGGATGATAATTCACTTCTTATTGCCCGACTTTCCGTGTACTTTTCGCGCACTGTTCACAAGCACAGCCAAACGTACATATTTCCACCCCCATCGTGATGATGGACTATACGCACCTCACCTGGACCCAGTGTGTCCTTAATTTCCTCCATAAATTTGCCGGTCCTGTCTTCCTGGACGCTCCTCATTCGCATCAACACAGTTGGTGGGATTAATGTGAAGCTGCTGTGCTTGGGTAAATCTCCTTCGCCTGAAAGATGGCACAGACTAAACCATAGAGGGAACGTAGCACATCTGAGCCAAACATGCCCGATCGGCCGACCGACCGACCGACGACCGGACGCTGTGACTACGTCGCGATGCTGGGGGATAGTACACAGCAAGCTAGCATTCCCAGCAACTTTTCAAAGACCGGTGTTGTCTATTTTTCTGTCTCTCTCTTCGTACGCGACGTTCCTTGAGTGGGTGGCACGCATTAAGTTTTTCAATGGCGTAAGTAGGTTTGAAAGGAACAAGAACACATACGTTTTGTGAGGAGTATACTTGACTTTTTGTACAGAAGTCCAATCCAAGGTATAGGTTTGCCATTTTAAATCGCATGTTTGATAAAAAATTAACATTTTTTAATTATGAAAAGCATCAGAACAGTTTGGCTCTATTTATTGAAATAAAACATAATGTTTTAGTCAAATCCAATTATCTCAAATACATCTCACTATACTTCTGAGATATTTTAAGGGATCATAGTAAATTTATTTATATAAGTTACAGAATCAATATACCCTATTCCTGATCTGTCGAGTGTTATAGATAGCATCAGGAATGTACAACAACAACAACAACAAATATCAGCCTCGTTAGCCGCATTGGATCAGTTGCCATAAGCCACGAGCGCATGGTTTGCCCACCGTCATCAGATTCCACGAAAGCAAGTAACCGCCGACCTAAGACTCACCGCATCAGCAGCCAGCCACCGGACGACGCGATCCTGTTTCAAAGTGTCATCACTAGGGACCGTTAACAAAGTTAGGCCTCTGTACGTAAAAAGTATTTGGAATAAAGTCAGTCTTAGTTAGACGTTTAACGTGAAGAGTACTAGATAGTTTTTTTTTAAAAAAGCAATCCTGAAGCTCCCCAACGTAATTTATATAACAGCAAATCCATAGGAAAAAAATAAAGTGAGTCTCAGAATTTCATGAAAATTGGTATAGTTCTTCCTTATTAAAAAATATTAAACTCGTATGTTTTTTTTTTATTCCGCCATTAGGGTGACCATTTCCGTGTTAGGGTGGTCCGAAAAATCTATTTTTTTTTTCAAAAATGCCTAATTAAGAAAAATCATAACTTCTGAACCTCTTGATCAGATGAAAGATGTTTTAACTTAATTTTAAGAAAAATTATGAAACACGCAGAGATATTTGATTTTGTATGAAAAAAATACGTTACAAATGTTTTTTCGTGATTTTCACTGCGAAGGTCTTCAACAACTTCTTGTTTTAGTATTTTTAATTGTAAGATCATTTAATTTTACATAACATATCAAAAAATTAGCGATGTCGGAGAAGTAGTTTTGGAGATACAATTTTAAAATAAAAAATCATTGTTCCGCAATATATACACCACAAGTGCATGGAAACGATGAAGACGAAAGGTAGTTCACAATGCGCCTCCATCGAGTCACACCAGCTGTGACTAACGAAATCTATGAGTAACTTACAAGCTGGGTGCAACATGTTAGTTTAAGTACGAACTGAATGTTGCACCCAGCTTGAATGTTACTAAGTAGTAATGAAAATGCCGCTTTTTAGATCACACGTGCATATGGCCTGCCAGACGAGATATTTTTTCAGGAACTTCGATAGTTTGATGAGTTTGAAAATTCAAGCCACCTTCTCTTTTCCTGATGCGGTATAAAACTCCTATTATGGAAGCTGCTTAAAATCCACCTTCACATAAGTTTCGTCGTCGAACTTTGTGAGCAGATTCGTATACAGCTTTCGGGACCTCTGCTTTGCCGACGTGTTTTGTTTGTAATCTCGGTTTGCCACCTTCACCTTCTTAAACGTCGACAACCCGTTTCTTGGCTCGCTGCACAGTAGTATGGGAGACATTGAGCTTGCCAGCGACATGCCGGATGGAGAGGTTAGGATTCCGCTTATATTGCACCGCCCCTTCTTCGTCGTCTCTGCCACGTTCGGATGATGATTGGCGTGTGAGAAAGTGGGATTCTCTTGATGCGGGAGCAAAATTTTGACACGCTGCTCCTCTTGCTTGAACGTCATTTTGAAAAGTGGAGAGCAAACAGTTAAAACTCATCATAGCAACCATTGTATATACACTCAACTTCCAAATGCAGCATTTCAGGATTTTTATGCATTTTTAACAGAAATACACCAATTTTTGACCAAGTTTTGCGCGCTGCAGACTTTATTGTCGACTCCAGAGCCTAAAACTTCGATATTCAGCACGAGGCAATAATTTTCCACCAATCTGTGTATAAAAACCAACACAGCACGTTCTACAGTGCTATATTTGTGTAATATGAAATGAATAATTTTGCATTTGATCCTCAAAATCATCCTCACCAAGATAAAGACGAATAATAATATTGACAACAACAGAGGCGATAATGAACATCCAGCCACGAATGAAGACAAACAAAATTTAATGTTGACTTCGATACTCAAAGGTTGCCTTGATCAAGAGAATGTGTTTATTTCAACATTCAGATTCATGCAGGTAGTTGGTTTATCTGTTAAGGTTGTCTTCATTTTCAGCTAAGTTGTGTGTAGAAGGCATGATTTTTATCAGCATTGGTCCTAACTGATCCAAGAAACTTTACAGCAGACGTCAACTCAATTGGATACAATCCCCCAGCGGTGTTATTTTTTCTGCTAGATTAAATTCCTGACCCATTGTGCATTGTTGACGTCACCTTCACATCTTGCGTAAGAACTGATGATGAAGAAAGAGACAGTGTTTTTTTTTCGGTTGATCCAGATAACATACCCACATGCTTTCGTAATCAAAATAAAAGCCAAATAGTTCATCCCAATTAAAACTTTCAGCTTTAGAAGCCAAATTTTCCAGCATACACATAGATTTTTTTTTTGCCGTGGTGAGCACTACTGAGCAGCTCGGCAGTTTTATTTTACTGGATCTCAGTGAAAAACTTCACGCTTAAAAAGTACCCAAAATCAATATGGTCCATATTTTATGTAAATACCCGTGTTTTTTTAAAGTAAGAAGTGAGACGGGTAAGCGTCTATTATTGCCAGATCAGCTATAATTACACAGAGAACCAATAGGCGTTGCTTGGGACTAACAATCATCCTCAATGTGTGAAAACTGCCCAAGTAACAAATCTACAGCCACTTGGCTATATTCAAAATTTATAAAGGTTTCATTGCAGCTGCAACCATGCAACCATACAATGCTAGTCATGGAACATTCTTATAGCTATCTACAAAACCCCTATAAAGCTTATAAAAAAAAACGATTGATGCTTATGCTATTTTCACTTATGAAAGGTTTTATGACTGCCTTGAAGTATAAAAAAAAAACAATATGAATTTCCCTTATAAAACCCAAAAATAAATCCTTATATAGGTATATAAGTAAGCGCAATAAAACTAGTTGGCCATGAAACAGTTATTTTAAAACAATTATAAGCATTCAGTTGCAACTTGTCAGAAGTGTAAATGGGTGGTTTATTTTAACAACATAGAAAAGAAACAAAACTTTCCGCTACTTCCAAGCGGAGCGCAAAGAGAATCAACTAAATTGTAAGCATGAGCCCGTTTATTTGCTACAGTCAGCCGCAAACCTTCGTGAATAACTCCAACCAAGAAAAAAATGCCACTGCATTTTCTGCGAATGTCACATAGGAAGCTGTAAAGAGTGTGCCTCCTCGCCATTCTGAACCATCTTCACTTCGAATGGACACATTGCTACACCAAAAATGACTCACGAAGCGGAAATATATAATTATCTGTAGTCGGAGGATGAAACTTACACTAACTTGCGTCTCTTATCAGATTTACAGTCGTGGATGGACAAAACACTTCAACAATCAGCATTGAAGACTTTCTTTCCTTTTTTTCATACTCGCTTATCGGACATTCTGTCACGCGATCCTAGACCATTGATTAAAACTACCCTAGCAGTGGACCTTTATAGAACTTGTGAATGGATAATACGTGGAATGGTGACAGTTTTAGGACAACAAAGTTGAAATC